TTGATGGCGAAGCCAGGTTACTGAGGCAATACAGCTCCCTCTAGCAAACCTAGGGCCGTGTAGTGCCCGTCCACCTTTCTGATGGTGTCTTCCTCCGCGCACAAAAATAAGATGGGCATCACTGCCTACGCCGACGGCCAGAAAGGCCCGCCATCTACATTTTCCCGCCTGACCCCATCAGTGCCGACCCAACTCCACCACCACACGCACGCCTCGCGGCGGATGCGCAGCAGCAAGAAGGTTTCGGTCATCCCTTGAGGGTGAGTCTAGCCCTGCTCGCCAGAAAGACCCCCCCCTTCACTACAACCCATGTCTAAGCAAAAGCTTGTCGAGGAGCGAGGGGAAGAAGGGAGTACATCCGAGATATGTCTTGAATCGACCCCCCCCCCTACCAAAAATCAAGATTAAGATTGAGATTCCGCCGCCATAACAACCATATTTTTTCTAATGGGTGTGTCTCGTTGACACAGTCACGGAGCCCCTAGAACTTTGAGAGACTACAAATATAGGCATAGTAGGCAGTAGGTATAGACTGCTGTTACGAATCATGTCGTTGGCCACCGGCTGGGAGCCAAGCGAGGTCCATCCTGCAAGTCTCCATGCTCTCGTGGAGTGGTCGCTACTGCAGACAGCCGTTGTTGCAACATGGGGTTCGGAATAAGCCATTTGCTGCGTGCTCTGGCTGTCGGAGTGCTCGGAGGTGCCTTGGCTCAAAGCGATGAGTGCTCCGCCTCGTCTGCATCTGGTGCAGGATTTGAGTACCAGGTTGGTCCCGGCTTCTGCTCTCTTTTCCGTGTCCGTCGTCATTGTTTGCTCACCACACGAGATCGCACGGCGATGGTCGGGGTGAGATGTGTTGGAATTAGTCACATGCTTCGTCCGTGCACACGGCCTTTCGACGGCTTCCGCCGCCACGCTACTGCTGTACGTACGTGAGGGCGAGTCCGAAGATGAACAAGATTTTGGCTGACGTTTTGTAGCGTGGCCTTCGCTCTCTCTCTCTCTCTCTCTCTCTCTCTCTCTCTCTCTTCTCATTTTCTCCGCCCATACGTGGATAGCAATCATTCGTTCTATAGGGAACGATCAAGTGGGCAGTTTGGTGTTCGGGTAGGCTGACAGAAAGCGTCTCTACCGAGTCGAGCGCAGGGTTTCGACTGATTGATTTTCGACATTCGAACTCTTCACGAAGAAACACTTGAGAGTTCTTGTGCATGTTAGAAGCCAATTTTCCGCATTTCGAGGTCTGCTCGCCTTGCGTTTCAAGTACCCAAGTTTCGGGCAGTTTTCCAAGGGGGTGCTGTCCACGGTACAGGCTTGTACTACTACGGAGTACATTTTATTGCCCGTCCTCAAGTGCTGCTGTTTAGTGCATGCTGAAGTTATCGGCTATACAGCACCGTACATGTTGCATTAGCCGGCGGCCGACTTCGCCGACAAAGCACTAGCGCAAAATGCGGGCCAACCAGTGAAGGCATTATGGTTTGAACGCTTTGGAATTGAAGCCCGACCACGACCATGAGAGTTTTGGTCGCACTCACACCTTGGAGTGCCCCTCCTAGGTATGCCCCCTAGGCCACGCCCTTGTGTTGGGTGTTAGAGGCTGGGAGACAGCACACATTAACCTTCTCTATCTCTCTCTTTCTCGCTCTCTCGTCTCTCTCTCTCTCCC